GGTGAAATAGATACCTTAATGTGGTTTGTGTAATGCTCATGATCAAGAACAATCATAAAGTTCTCTTCATCCCAAAGTGCACCACTCAATGATTTGAGGTGCACTATCTGTTTATACTTCCTCTTCCATGTCCTTGTATGATTTGTGATGTGGGTTCCAATTAAGTCGGTGCGGTTAAAATGTTCATTCATAGCCATGGCACAAGCATTCCAATGTACATTCTTGAAGGCGGTACCGGTTCTATGGCCACCGGTCACCACAGCACATAGGTTCGCTAGCATGTATGATGACATGGTAGGTGTCCATGAAATTTGCCTAGCAGCCATATCCTGAAATTGCAACAAATATTTAGACACAATGAATAAATTTCAGCAAGTATTTAGAGATAATGAACCAATTCAGCAAGCCTTTGGAGATAGAGAACCAATTCAACAAGTATTTGAAGATAAAAAACCAATTCAAGAAGTATTTAGAGATAATAAACCAATTCAGCAAGCATTTGGAGGTAAAGAACCAATTCCACAAGTATTTGGAGACGAATAACCAATTCAGCAAATATTACAACGGATAAAATGACATTACAAAGTAATTCCAGCAAAAACAATAGTTCCAACAAGAAAGTACAATAGATTGTCGCAGCAAACTAAATGACATGGTAGCTACTACACGTTTTGATGTTGCATATAGTTTTGTCGGTCTTCCCACATTTGATCAGCAAGGCCTTGCCTAAAGTTAACCATGTATGCATGTTCTTCTGCTTGTCCAGTTGATGTTGAAGCATGAGTGATATTTGGCACCCATTCATCCTCAGGTATGATATATTTATCAATCCCATCATTTAGAACCCAATTTTGAATGATGCAGCAAGCCACAACAATATCTACTTGAGTAGGATAAAGAAAGAATGGAGTGGCATCATCAAGAATTTTGAATCTTCTCTTCAATGACCCAAATGCACGTTCTACGGTTGTGCGAAGAGAAGAATGCCTAAGGTTGAACAGCTCCTTCTCATTTTGCACAGGATTGTTTCCCCACTCATTCAAATGGTACCTCACACCACGAAAAGGTGGCAAGAACCCTGGTTTGACTCCATATCCAGCATCAACTAGATAAAATTTTCCTAAGTATGACAAACATTTGGGTTACTTACATATATACCAAAATCTCATTGACAACATGTATCTACACAGTTAATCTATTACCTTGTGGGACACGTAGACCGTTTTCACGTATTAAAGCATCACGTAAAACTGTAGCATCATGTGCTGTCCCTTCCCAACCAGCCAACACATATGTGAATCGAAGATCAAAATCAACAGCCGCCATCACATTTTGAGTAGTATGTTTCTTTCTACCACGAAAGGCAGGCTCCATATCAGGAGTAACAGAGGCACGTACATGTGTGCCATCAATAGCTCCAATACAATCCTATTTGATGGAAATAACACCCAAAAAAATTAGGATCTAAACAGATTTGTTTCTACAATGACAAAATGTAGTTGTCACTCAATCTCATACCTTAAAGTATGGATCCCGCCGGTAGTTTCCTTCTACTTTGGTTTGAGTCTCCAATGAAGGCTTCCTAATAAGGTCATCTCGAAGCTCACCAATTGCATGGAGTACTCTATGGAAATACCGGCTAACAACTTCCCCGGATCTACCGAAATTCCCTCCAATTACCCTATTCCTGACATTATGACCAATGGTGTGCAAAAACATTGCTACTTGTTGCTCAATAGACATATGGACCGTGTCTTTTAGCAAATTGCGATCTCTAAAGAGTTGACAAAACCGAAAGAATGGTGCCCTCCGAAGCCTGAGCATGTTCACACTAGTTGTATCATTTTTCCATACTTTGTTATCAAAGTACTCTCTTCTCATCCTATCTCTCTCATCGATTGGGGCATATGTAATTGCTTCTCTCCTTTTTCTTTTTCTAGATTGAACAACCAAAGCTATCATATTGATAAACCATTGTGCCACTGCCGCACAAATTAACATCTTTGTCTTTTTGTCCATCTACAATATAATAGTACAAATGATATAACTTCAGCAGGAACAAGTCAACATGTACATCCTCTGTCAAGCAGTACATAGGAGGAGCAGTTAACAAGTTACCTTAGATTTTGGAGAGAAAATCAACGATAGGAAGATGTAGTAGTCCCTGACTTCCCTGTCGCCTTTGACCTGCCTTTGACCTGAGCTACTGCAGCACAAAGAAACAACAAAAAAAGATTAGCATGTTGGATAGAAAATCAATGGAGAAAGCACACATCAGTACATCTGGCCGCCGCAGTACACAAAACAAGTTTGGCTGCAGAGCTAGCAAGATCCACGCAGCAAGCAGGGCCAAGCAGCTAGCAGGCCGGCGTACCGCGCACAACATCTGCTCTCACGCGGCGCACAACATGCGCACTTGCCGGACAGATGCAGGGCCGGCGCAGCACCCGCGCACGGGGCGCACAGCAGGCGCGCCGGCCGGAGAGAAGCAGGGACGGCGCCGCTATCCTCAGGCCTCCGGCGGCCGCGCGCGGCACTCACCTGGCTGGCCGCCGCCGCCATGACCTCTGATGGCAGATGAGGAGCGGAGGAAAAGAAGGAGAGAGCCACGACGCTGCGCACTCACCGCCGTCGTCGGGCTTCGATCTGCTGGCGCCGCTGCGCACTCACCGCCGTCGTCGGGCTTCGATCTGCCGCCGCCGCTGGACAGGAGAGAAGTGAAATGGAAAGGGGAAAAGAGATAAGGTTGCCCTTTTGTGGGAGGCGAATGAAACGAGACGGCGCTGAAAAACGTTTTGCGGGCTCCCTTCGCGCCCCCCGCGCGCGCGGGATGCCCACATCCGCGAGATTTTCGCGGACCCGCGGAGCCGAGTTTTGGACGAATATTCGAAGCATCTAGCCATCCCTATCCCAACTCGCCCGTGAAACAAACGACTGCTATCCACTTAAAAAACTGCTATCCCTGTCCCATGGAGGGATAGCCCAGCATCCAAACGCATCCCAACCAAACAGAAAATATGGTTATCCTTATCCTGCTGGATAGGGATGCCCATAGCCACCCCAGCATCTCCTTCTATCCAAACGCATCCTTAGTTCCTCCAATCACATATGTCACGGGTTCGCCGCTACGTGCGCAAGTCCCAGGTGTCCAGCCAGCTTCGACTAGTGGTCGCCAAGCCCACGCACGCAACAGTCCATTTACGCACGCCCACAGCCAGACTCCCGAGACTGCTGCATGTCACACACATGGAGGCCGGAAGCAGCGACCCAGAGAGCGGTGTGGGCAGTACGTACGCCCCTCGCCACGGGGAGAAAAAATAACGGGGACAGCATTCCGGTTGCGCCCTGCCACGGCCCTGCCGCCTCCCTCCCCGCGCGAGGGAGAGACTTTGTGCGCGCGCCCCGGGGCAAAGCTAGTGTCATCACTGTTCGGCGCGGTGGTCTCGGCGAAAGAAACAGACAGACAGAGCTTGGTGGATAGGGGGAGAGAGAGAGAGAGAGAGTAGGCGACATCTCCAATGGAGAGGGGATGGTGGGGATAAAGCGGTGCCTCTTCTTGCCCACAGTCACGGACGGCCAGCGGCGGCTCAGGGCGCCGCCATTGATGCGCCCATTGCTCCCCTCGGCGTCGCCTGTTCTTGGTATGTTAGCTGTACATCTTCTTCCTCCTCGCATCTGGTTCTTGGATTGGGGAATCGCTCGCTCGCAGCCTGCCTGTTCGGTGCGCCAGATGGATGGTGTGATCTATCTGCCTGCCCTGCTAATGCGGACCGGTGAAATACCGGAATGTTGGGTAGAGCTCTTGATGCATGCGGATGTAGGATGGGTTTTTTTTTTTCCCTGCCCCTTTTTGCTCTTTATATTGGAGATATATTGGATGGTGATTGATTTTTCATTATTGTTTTGGGGGAGAAAATTCCTGCTACCATACTTGCGTTGCGATGATGAAATATTATTCTGGTTCAGGTCCAGCCTTTCAGGGCCTGCCACTCTGATGTGTGGTTTCAGTTCAGTAAGGCAAAAAATTATAGTTGAAATGCAACTGCTATCATTACTCTGTCCTGGATTTTACTTCAGTTCTTGGTGCCCTATTGGTTTTACATGTCTCTGATTTTTGCAGTCATAGCTTACCTCTTTTGATGCTTCTGGTGATTCTTTGGTGCATTAGGTCTTTGCCAGGTTGGGATTTTTCTGATGTTGCAAATATGTGTGCTCTAACTGTGTTTATCCCTTCATTGCAGTGTGATTGCTTCAGTTTGCACCACTAAACAGGATGGATGAGGTAGACTTCCTGGTGGGAATAGGCATGAAGGAGGAGGATATTGCAACAATGCTGTTTGGAGAGAAAGTTGCTGAGCTGAGAGAAGACACGTTTGATGGTTCTGAGCAGGAAAAACAAATCCTTGAGGGCATTTTTGGCAGCGGGCAGACCACTTCGCTACCAGGCGCAATCAAAGCATTGGTACCAGCTAGCACACCATCCGGCTCTGCATCTAGCAACAGGATGGTCTACTGCCGCATAGTCGAGTCCTTTACTCACGGCAGCCTATCAAGCTATCATGTTTTATATCATAGTGCTAATCAACAGATGCAGAATGCAATGCCTTGTACAGATCATCATGGCAGGCCTTCTGAATGTGAACTCGTGGTACAAGAGACGCCACCTTCCGGTGATCGGGTGTACACTCGCAGGGCTGTGATACGCAGGAGCCAGAGAGCAAAACAATGCAGTATTCTGGATTGGGAGAGGGTTGACATTAACAGTGTGGTCGCACAGCGACGGGATGGCCGTGGTGGCTTTGGAATGCTCTGGAACCATCTCCGGCTGCACGCACATCTTCTGATGATGGACGCCGGGTGGAAGATCGAGGGCAAGGAAAGGGGGGACAAGAGTAAGGTCGACCTCATGTTCGAGTCGCCCGACAAAGAAATACGCCTAGCTTCTCTTCCTAAGGCTTGGAAATGCTTTGGCCAGTGGTTGCTTATTCATTCGTCCCGATTTGATGGGAATTACTATGGAAAGGAATGGTTCAACATGTATGAATTTTGTTATGATTTGAAGAACACACTGTTATGCTTAGAGCACGAGGTCCGGCGCCCGAAGCAATCTCTATCCTTCCTCCACCAGTGGCAACTCCTCGATCCTTTCATGGCAGTAGTTTGCATCGATAAGAAGGTCGCAGCTCTGCGGAACGGAGTGGCACTGAAAGCTGTGAACAGCAGAGTTACAATCCTCAATTGCAGCGACATTAAGCTGTTGAGTCGCTTGAGTCGCAGGAATGTTAACAAGCCAGTTGCGATTAAGTATTCAAGCAACTATAGCGACACACATCCCAAGTCACGGAGAAGTCTTCTGCCGCTTCTTCTATCTGATGGCCAGCCTCACAAAGAGGAAAATTCTCTGCACAATGAGCAGTCTTTTATGTTTGGAACAAGCAAGCATAGCCAATATGAAGTGCAGCAAAGGTACTTGACCATGCAAGAAATGAATGAAAGAAGCGTCAGAAATATTCCTCATCATATAGTGAAAGGTTTCCAAGATGCAACAGAGCACAGTTCAATGCCTACTTGCTTTAGTACAAAAAGAGAATTTCCATACTGTAAAATGGTTCAGGATACTCGAGATGAGTCCGACCCACCATATTTTCCGCCTAGTTATGCTTCAGATCAGCTGGTTGAAAATGTGCAAATCAAGGTTCCAAGTTCTCATGCCGGTGAAGCAATGGAAATCGCCGCCGATATGGGTAACTCTGCAGACAGTCCTTCTGACAAGTTGCTCATAAGACCAGACCTGTTGTTTTCTCACGAGGTGGATGAGATGATCCTTGGAACGACAGATGGTGTCAGCAATGAACATCATGCTGCTGCAGTTGTCTCTGATTACCAAGCAGGAACTGAGGATGGAAGGGGTGGACCTTCGTCTGGTACATTATCACTACCAGAAGAAAAGGATGCACGCTTAGAAGCTATCAGAGATGATGTCAACAATGAACATGATATTGTTGTACCTGGATTCCAAGCAGGAAATGTACATGTGAGGGATGAACCTTCAGCTGGTGCATTGTCTCTGTTAGCAGAAAAGGATACACCCTTAGAAGTTATCAGAGATGATATCAACAATGAACACGATGTTGTTGTTGTACCTGGATTCCAAGTAGGAAATGATGATGTAAGGGGTGGACCTTCCTCTGGTACACTGTCACTATTAAAAGCGAAGGGTACAAACTTGGAAGCTAAAGACATGAGCTTGGAACAGATGACAAAAACAGGATGGGTACCATCTGGAGCCACTGGTGGCCCATTGAAGATCTCCGAACCACAAGTACTGTTTGTGTCCCCACAAGACGGGAGACTCTCTTTCATGAACAACAGTACATTTAATCAAGACACGTTGAGTTGTCTTAATTTTTCCCATGATAGCATGGGGGCAAACATGCAGCTGGAAATCCAGACATCTGCCTATGAAGCGAGCTTGATTCAGGGATTTTTATATCTTGATAGTGAGGGTTCTCCAATTGGTTGGGAAGTCATAAACCCAGAACCTCCTAACCAGTTGATCTGTGGCCCTTCTTCTGAACCAAACTCAAAGGTGTCTGGACATTGTGGTGAGCTGAACATGCAGAATGAAGCACTAACATCTGAACAAAGGGAGATATCAGAGTCTGATCCAAGTAAAAATGGTCAAAAAAGGTGTGAGAAGGTTGCAGGTATCAAAGATGATGTCCGTAGAAAGAAACAGAAAGTAAATAGTGTTCATGCAAGTCATTGTGCAATTGGTAAGAATATGGACATTACAACTGAGGTTCCAGCTAGCTTTGTAGTTCACAATGGGAAAGAACAGATAGGTGCAACAAGCAGTGAGCATGCTTCTTCGAATCAAAAAAGGTCACAGGACGCTGCAGATATCCAAGATGAAGTTCGTGAAAAGAAACAGAAAGTAAATGATGGTCTTATAAGCGACTCCATAATTGGTCAATGCATGGATAGTAGTACAGCTGAGAATCCTACTAGGTGTGTGACACGTTGTGAGGAAGTACAGATAAGTGCATCAAGTCGTGAGCAGGTCTCTTTGACTCTAGTGCCCGAAATTAAAGAGCACAAGGAACAAGCTGAAGATAGCAGTGAACCCCCAAAACAGCTCGTGTCAGAACAACCACCCAAAAAGGATGTCAAATTTCGAAAGAAACAACCATGGACGCGTAAATGCAGGTTTGACGAGGATGATCTTTTGATGACAGCTGTAATACATAGGCTGACCGCGCGTTACAGGAACCATTATAATCGAATGCTCATAAATAGAATTGGCTTGAAATCTCTTCCGAGGTCTCGCCTGGAGAATGAAAAAAAATGCGGCCGGCAGAAGTTCCCTAAAAGTGCAAGAACGGTGTTGAGCAAATTACTTGAGATGGGCATTGTTTGTACAATGAATATTCTCCAGTATAGAAGGCCAGGACCTAAGAACGTGTTGAAAGATGGGAACATAACCGAGCATGGCATAAGGTGCCGGTGTTGTGACACCATATTTACAATGTCCAACTTTAGGTGCCATGCAGGTCTCAAACAAGAAACTCTGACCCTGGATCTTTTCTTGGGTTCTGGTAAATCTTACAGCCTATGTCAGCTTCAAGCGTGGTTTATAGAGCAAAAGAAGAGGAAAGAACGTGCAAAAGATACTATGTCAGTACAAGCAGATGAAAATGATGACACTTGTGGATTATGTGGTGATGTCGGTGAACTAATATGCTGTGACAACTGCCCTGCTAGTTACCATCAGGCCTGCTTGCCTTGTCAGGTTTGTTTTCGAAATGTTTCCCTTTTCTTTAGTTAGCCAAAATATAGAGCTATGTAGATGTACTTTCTGGGAAACTAACCAAATCAGAAATCAGTTTATGACGACTCTGAAATGAACTATGAACAACAAAGCCTTTTATTCCCAAAATGGTTGGGGTAGGCTAGAGTTGAAATTCATAAGATCTCAAAACCTAGTCATGGTTCTGTCATGTGGATAGCTAACTTTCACACACCACTCTCCATGACTAGTTCTTTGGTGATATTCCAGTCCTTCCGGTCTCTCTTTATGGACTCCCCCATGTCAAGTTTGGTCTATCCCGACCTCTCTTGATATTATCAGCACACTTTATCCTTCCGCTATGCACAGGCGTTTTTGGAGGACCGTGTTGTATATTTGGTGCTATCCTAACTCTTATCATGTATATCATCATTTCAGGCCCGATCCTTTCTTGTGTGGCCCCATATCCATCTCAGCATGTGCATCTCTGCTACACTTAACTATTGGACATGTCGCCTTTTAGTTGGCCAATATTTTGCACCATACAACATCGCAGGTCGAATCGTCGTCCTATAGAAATTGCCTTTTAACTTGTGTTGCACCCTCTTGTCACAAAGGGCGCCAGAAGCTTGGTGCAACTTCATCCATCTGACTTCGATTTGATGACTTAGATCTTCGTCGATATCACCATCCTTCTGCAACATTGACCCACATATCAAAAGGTGTCCTTCTGAGGTACCGCCTGTCCATAAAGGCTAACCTCCTCCTCGTGCCTAGTAGTACTGAAACTACACCTCATGTACTCAGTTTTAGATCTACTAAGCTTAAACATTTCTATTCCAAAGTTTGTTTCCACGGTTCTAACTTTCTATTAATGCCTATCTGATTATCATCGACTAGCACCACATCATCCGCAAAGAGCATACACCATGGGATATCTCTTTGTATATCCCTTGTGACCTCATCCATCACCAAAGCAAAAAATATAAGGGCTCAAAGCCAACCCTTGATGCATTCCTATTTTAATTGGAAAGTCATCAGTGGCACCATCACTTGTTTGAACACTTGTCAAAACATCATCGTACATGTCTTTGATGAGGGTAATGTACTTTGTTGGGACTTTGTATTTCTTCAAGGTCCATCACATGACATTCCCTGGTATCTTATCGTAGGCCTTCTCCAAGTTAATGATGGAGGTCCTTCTATTGCTCCTGGTATCTCTCCGTAAGTTTGAGTACCAAGGAAAATAGCTTTCATGGCCGACCTCCCAGGCATAAAACCAAACTTATTTTTCGTCACGCTTGTCATTCTTCTTAATCGGTGGTCAATGGCTCTCTCCCATAGCTTCATTGTATGGCTAATCAGTTTAGTTCCATGGTAATTAGTAAAACTTTGAACATCCCTCTTATTCTTGAAGATTGATACAAATATACTCCGCCTTCATTCCTCAGGCATCTTGTTGACCGAAAAATAAGGTTGAAAAGCTTAGTTATTCATATTGTCGTTGTGTCTCCTAGGCATTTCCACACCTCAATGGGGATACAATCATGGTTCATGAACTTGCTTCCTTTCATCCTTTTTAAAGTCTCACTGATCCTGGGCTCCTGGATTCGTCGCACAAAACGTCTGCTGGTATCATCAAAGGAGTCGCCCAATTCAATGGCAGATCTCTCGTTCTCTCCATTGAGCAGTTCGTCAAAGTACTATCACCATCTATTCTTGATCTCCTCGTCCTTCACTAGTAGTCGATCTGCTCCATATTTGATGCGTTTGACTTGGCTCACATCCTTGGTCTTCCTATTTCGGATCTTGGCCATCTTAAGATGTCCCTTTTGCCTTCCCTCATATTTAAACGTTGCTAAAAGTCCTCATACGCCTGAACCCTTGCTTCACTCACAGCTTGCTTTGTGGTATTCTTTGCCACCTTGTACTTCTTTATATTGTCTGCACTCCTATCTGGGTGTAGGTGTTTGAACCAGCCTTTCTTCTCCTTAATAGCCACCACAAGCTTTTGTTGACAGACAACACTCTTTCCAAGTATCACCTTACAATCTAGGCAAACACGTCTGTCTTCTCGTCTCGAGAGAACAAAATTAATCTGGCTAGAGTGTTGACCACTACTAAAAGTTACTAGATGGGATACCCTCTTTTTAAAGAGGGTGTTAGCTACGATCATGTCGTAGGCTAAAGCAAAGCTTAAGACATCCTCTTCTTCTTGATTCATGCTGCTATAACCAAAGCTCCCATGCACTGCGAGTCTTAATAGCCTTTTGGACATCGTCGCTCCACCATCAAGTATCTTTAGCTTTGCTTCTACTTTCCTTGGTCACCTCAAACTCCTCTGAAGCCAACTTCCGAAGACAAGTCACCATCTTCATTCACATATTGTTTGCATCACCTCCTTCCCCCCAAGAGCCCTCCTTAATAACCCTCTCATTGAATGCCAGAAATGCCTCCCCTTGAGCTTCCACCACTTTGGTGCGCTTATCACACCGGACATGTATCCGGAAGCTAAGTCAACATCCACAAGCTTATCTTGAGGGACAACATTCTCTCCAAATATCACCTTACAATCTAGGCAACTACGCCTGTATTCTCATCTCGAGAGGAAATTAATCTGGCTAGAGTATTGACCACTACTAAAAGTCACTAGATGGGATTCTATTTTTTTAAAGAGGGTGTTCGGTACTATCATGTCATAGGCTAAAGCAAAGGTTAAGACATCCTCTCCTTGATTTCTGCTGCCATAGCCAAAACCCCCATGCACCACGAGTCTGAAACGAACTATGTGTAGGAACAAAATATGTCGACCAGAGGGGGTGAATGGGAGATTTAAAGTTTCTTTAGGGAAACTTCAGATCTCTCAAAACACGACAGTGGAAAAGAAGTAAACAGATACAAGACTACGTTAAAAAACTACCGAAGCAAATTAAGCATGAGTACCGAAGAGAAATCACATGACTGAAACTTAACCGAGGGTAAACAAGCGAAGGTAAACATGGTTAAGATGAAACCGGTGATGCTCAATGGCGACAAGGGATTTGGTAGACTAGTTCACTCTTCTGCAAAAGAGCTACGTCTGGTTGTAGGGACTTGTGATTTAACACAAAAGATAAGCTCTTTTTGTCTTGTTTTCCTCGAGAACAAGTTCGTCAACACGTGCTGATCACTCGAGGTAGATACTTGAGGCGATCTCCATAACCTTCACAGACTTTGTCTTCGTGAACCACAATTACTCTTGGTCACTGAAGAACTTGGCACCTAACCGTCTAGAGAGTTGGCAGCTCTCAAGAGTAAAAGAGTAAAAGGTGGAGCGTACTAAACTTAGATCTTTGTGATGCTAAACCACTATCTAGTTTTTCGGCTTTGGGGTTTTCTCTCAGTGGATTTTAAACTCAAATCTTTCGAAGAGTGGGCGCTCAGAGAAACTAGTCAGAATCACACTGAGCAGCCAACGATTCACGTTGGAATGGGGTGGCTATTTATAGCCGCGGTCTTCCCGAGGGGGAAAGGCCAGTTTGGACATGACAACTAGCCAATGACCAACCGACACGTTTCCAACGGTTGGATTTCAAATGCACCTGGCAACTTTACTTGAGGAACAAGTAAGTTGACTCTTCGGTCCGAAGCAGATCTCTCGCAGCCCAGAAGAACAACGTCTCTGGCTGGCAAGTAATGTTTCAGAACGCAAAGAGATTTCTCTCAACTCTCGTAGGTTTCAGTTTAGCATCAGAGAAACAAAAGTTTCGAATACTATACCCCTTTTAATAGTACGGTGGTCCTATGACTCAAGAAAGAGAAAATGAACTACCGAAAGAAAATACTACGTCTTTTCTCCGCCTCCATTCTTCTCAGCTGCAGTCAAATCTCGGACCATGTACCGAGGCAATTGCTTCACGTCAGCAATTATTTGGGGGTCAACTTCGTCACGCATAATCTTCGATGATAATCTTCACTGCAGCACAGGTGATTATCTTCGGAGTTTGTACCAAACTCCTCTTGACTCCAGGGACCTATAGTCTCTGTGTGCACTAGCAAATACATTAGTCCCTCACTGTTTCTGACAGTAATCTCCAAAACACAAGGAGGCAAATTATTGCACCAACACTGTCTCTTTTAATCCCTGGATGCTACTGAAATGACGTTTCCAAAAATTGCTGTGCCACTGATATAATGTAGCAAAAGAAAAAGAATGGTTTGTCACTACTAATCATGTCCCCGTGATTGTTCTAACTGCCATGCCACACCCAAATCAACTTCATAGCAATAAGCAGTCTTTATTCACTGCTACATCTTTTTTATCATTGCTTTGTCTGTATTCGATTGATTGGTGCGGACATGTACTTAATACTTTACTTTCATCCTGAATGTGATATAACTTGTGTACCCATTCTGGAAATCATATTTTGCATCGGCATGACAGGACAACTTTTTTGTAACTTACATTATTGATTTATCTATTGTATTTGCCATAACCATGAGTACATATTTGTTATCGATCTTGTCATCTTTAGCACAGTAAGACACAAGTTTTAACTAATATTACTGATTTGTTCCTATTGCATTGTATTTTTTATCAGGAAGTTCCAGATGGCAACTGGTATTGCTCTAGTTGCCTGTGCAATGTTTGTGGGGAAGTGGTCAATTCAAAGGCGCCTGGAGGTCTCCTACATGCTTTAGAATGCTCACAGTGTGAATATCGATGTAATGTCTCACTTGCATCGTCATTGGTATCTTATCGTATTGCTTTATTTGACAAAATATAGTTCGCATCCCATATGTATTTGTTACTGTATTTAAGGGTAAATATTTTAATATTGTTATTATCCATGCTTTTTGTAAAAAATCTTAGTGGTGCACTGGAGAACCGAGCGGCGCTTGGCCGATGAGGCAGAATTTATTCTGTGGAGTGACCAGTGTCTGGGTCATTCTTAATACAATACCACAGGTCGTAGTGCCTGGTTGGTCGAGTATTTTTTCGATAGAAGTTTTTTTTCTCATACATTGTTGATTCAGAACTGATCAAACACAGACGCAGGCACAGCTTATGAGTATTTATTTATGTAATCTTCATGTTGTAGCAATAGTTAATCTACATCAGTAGCCATCCATTTTATGGCAATACAATTCTGGATTGCACAAAACTTCTTACCATAGTTCTGGATTCAAATATTACTCAGGCCTAGAGAAAGACCCAACAGTTCTTAGAATATCTTTGTTAATAACTCATTCATTACGTCGCTTGTTCAATTATAATGGGTATATTTTATTTATCTATTCATTTCCTCCAGATCACGTAAAATGCATATCTGGTAAAGTTGTGTGCAATCAGAGAAGTGGACTTGGTACTTGGTTTTGTGAAAGAAGGTGCCAGCAGGTACACTCAAAGATTATACTTGTTCTATAACTTTTATAGCTGTATATGTTGCTGAAGATAGCAGAAACTTTTACTTAAGGAGGCTGGTCTTGTTCTGAAACTTTCAGATTTATACAAGCATGCGTTCTCGTGTTGGAATGCCTGACCACCTCGATGATGGCTTTTCTTGCACCATACTTCGTAATAATGATGATCAGAAGGTTCACTCGGCTTCAGACATTGCTCTCCTGGCTGAGTGCAGCATGAAATTAATTATTGCTTTGAGTATTTTGGAAGAATGCTTCTTGCCCATCTTCGACCCGAGGACAGGGGTAGACATAATGCCCCCTATTGTGTATAACTGGAGGTGAGCTGAATCAGATTTTTTAAACTCCTTAACATGCTCACTGCATATTTACTTTATTTTGCTTATTTTAGTTCCCTATAATTTCATGTATATCACTTAAGATCTCCATTTTACCCTTTATATTTCTTTGCCAGGTCCGACTTTGTACATTTGGATTACAAGGGGTTCTATACTGTAGTCCTGGAAAAGGATGACAACCTCCTTTCTGTGGCATCCATCAGGTATTATGTGAACAGATAATTTCTAGTGATGAGGTGAGCATGTGGAGTTAAAATATTGTTATCGCTGCAGGTTACATGGCACAACTGTAGCAGAGATGCCGCTGATAGCTACTTGTTCTGAGAATCGGCAACAGGGGATGTGCAGGCAACTGGTGGATTACATTGAGGAGGTATGAAGATAAGTAGGCATTGGCGCTTTTGTTACCTGCTTGGACTGTTTCTTAAAGTTGTGTTGCCTTGCCGAAGCATCATATTAAGTATAATCCATGTGTATAGCCGTCTTAGGACATGAATATCTACCTGTAGGTTCCTTCCCAGATCTGCTTGGCTAGCTATCAAATTTTGCGAAGTACGTAAATTCAGAACCAATTGATTATTTTTCTTGGGGGTAAAAAAACAACTGATGGTTTATTGAGCAGCAGCTGTATGTTTTGCATGACTTGTACTGCATAAAATATCTTCTACTTTTTCCCATGTGTACGGTTTAATAATTCAGATAAAGTTGCTACCCTAAAACTTATGCATACCCAATATTTTCGACAGATGCTGAAATCTCTGGAGGTAGAAATGCTGCTTCTGTTCGCGATACCAAACCTAGTCGATACATGGACATCAGCATTCGGGTTCAGGCCCATCGAAGACTGTGACAAGAAGAAGCTGAGCAAGATCAGGCTGGTCTCGATCCCTGGAACTGTTCTACTGAAGAAGGATCTGTATGAAAGAAGTTCAGAAACAGGGGCGGGTGCGCTGCGAACCGAACAGCCGCAGCCATTGGCGGACACCGGGCCGGTTTGCACAGCGGAGACCAACCTCGCCGACGAAGTAGGAGGCTTGGAGACCAATCCGCCCCGCGCCGATCCTCCGTCTGCTGTTGCTCTCGGGAAATGTCATGTAGATTAGTGCTTAGCGCTGAGTTGCGTTGCGCGAATGTCCTTCACTATGCTGACTGAGCCCTGAACATCTACCAGGGATCCGGCTTGAACTCCCGCTGGTGACAATTATGCACTTATGCCCAAGGTTTCTTTTCTCCGCTGCAGTGAAAGTCGAGACTCGAGAGCTAATGTCTCCTCGCTTAGGGCGTGACATTGACACGATAGAAACGAGATTTTCTCTGCTTGAAAAGAAGTTCCAGCCTTCCAGGCATAGCATTATGTGCAAGGGTCGTGGGTTACGGACTACTGCTAACATTTTTTTTTTTGAAACGTGGGGCAAAAGATTTGCCCCTTTTCATTAATTAGGAGAGGGAAAAAGGTCTTTTGCTAACATTTTCAGAGAAATGATATGTGGGGCGCCACTTTTTTTTTTGCCACTTTTTTTTAGAGAGAGGGAAAGAGAAACACGTGGGGCGCCACCTGCTTGAGCTGCTGGAACCAGGTGATCTTTCCGCCACGGCATTAGAAATCGTCTGTCGCCTAGTGCAAACCGCAATGCAGAATGTTCCGCCCTTTTCTCCCTCGGATCTCAAAATGGTGAAGGTCACTCGTTTGAGAGAGTGCAAACATGGACAATTTTTTGAAAACGAATCAAAATCTGGAACTTTTTTTTTACAATCCCCTCTAAGAGCAACTCTAACATAGCCGCCACAGGATATGGAGGGCACTTCATATGGAATTTTTTTCCGACAAAGGACATTTCATTGAAGTGATATATTAAGGTGATACAACCGCATCCAAAGAATGGGCGGCCTCTGCATAGCAAAATGCACACAGCTACCAAGTCCAAAGGACCCAAAAATAATCATCGTTTTATAGTAGAAAATAAATCAATCCAGCCTAGGGTGCGGCAGCTCCTCTCCGGATATTACACCGCCATCCATGGAGAGAGAAAACCTTTCTGGCCATATGCTCCAACCGTGTAGACGCCATCATAAAAAGGTCTCTGTCCTCCGACCTCTGCAGGATAGACCAAGTACAGAGCCATCACATACATGCATGAATAAACTGCACAGGTGATGAAACACATTTATTGTAAAAACCACATCATTCTTGATAAGCCACAATGCCCATCATAAGGCAGCTGCTCCCACAACGATGTGTGCAAAAAATTGTTTATCAGTACCCCACAACCAATTGCCGAACATGTTATGTGCACTACGTGGGGGTATAGATATGAAGCTACTTGAACTATGGCCCAAACTACACAAGCGAACTTACACTCAAAAATAAGTGTTCAATGGGCTCGTCATGTTGACAAAAGACACATGTCTTGCTACCTTGCCAATTACATCGTGCCAAATTATCTCTAGTCAAGATGACCCCTCTGTTTAGAAACAGGAGAAAAATCTTCACTCTTAGAGGAATTTTGAGCTTTCACATTTTCTTGTTATCAACCGGAACATCACGATGAACCATTGCATTGTATAAGGATTTGACTGAAAACCTGTCGTTTTGATGCAAATTCCATCGAACCTTATCCGATTCGTCTGACCGTTGAATGGCCTACATATGAAGGAGTAATTCATTCCATGCTGCCAAGCAAGGTCCTAAAAGGTCCCCCCAGAAAGAAATATCAGGGTTTTCATGTCCCAAACCTTGTTTGATTGTGACGAATTTATGTCGAAAGATCTTGTACAAGCTAGAGTATTGAACCTTAAGTGGGGTGGCCCCCAGCCAGGTGTCTTCTTAGAAACGAACCTGAGAACCGTTCCTAACCGAGAAAGTGCCAAATTGGAAAAAGAATTTCTTGGCCTTCATCACGCCACTCCAAAAATGTGAATCACCGGGTTTCCAATGAACTTGTGAAATGTCTTTGGACCACACGTACTTGTTACAAATGATTTCCTGCCACACGCCATTCTCGGTGAGTAGTTTGTAAATCCATTTACTCAAAAGAGCGATTTTTTAATCTCAAGAACTTTAATCCCAATGCCCCCTTGACTTTTAGGTCGGCATAATAAGCTCCACCTAGCTAGTCGATATTTCTTGGATTCATTATCACACTGCCAAAAAATCCGGATCTGAAGTAATCGAGACGCTGAAGAACCCCTTTCAGTAAGTGAAAGAATGACAACATATATAGAACCATATTGTCAAGGACATAATTGATCAAAATCAATAGCCCCCCCCCCATATGACAAGAATTTAGCCTTCCAACCGGCTAGATGCTTCTCAGGTCTCTCTCCCACGTGCTTCCACTCAGCGATAGTTAAACGCCGATAGTGTGTCGGAATACCTAGATACCGAACTGGAAATTCCCGAGCTGGCAGCCAAAAATCTCAGCAAACTCAGATGTGGACTTGGCAGCATCGCTGAAGCAGAAAAGCTCACTCTTATGAAAATTAATTTTGAGACTAGAGAGTTCCTCAAAGGCACATAAAAGCAGCTTAAGGTTTCTTGCTTTATCTAGGTCGTGATCCATAAAAAGTATAGTGTCATCCACATATTGTAGAATAAAATAGACCGTCTTCTACCAAATGAGGAATGGCACCGCTAATCTGACTGGCCACCTTAGCCTGCTCAACAAGGATGCCTAACATACCGGCCACAATGTTGAATAAAATAGGGGATATGAGGTCCCCTTGGCGAAGCCCCTTCCTAGTCTAAAAGTAGTTGTTAACATCATCTTTGACTTTGATAGCCACACTACCTTTGGAAACAGAACTCCCTACCCATCTACACCATTTTGGAGAAAAACCTTTCATGCGTAAAGTTTGCAAAAGAAAGGGCCATTTGACTTTAGCATAGGCTTTTTCGAAGTCAATTTTGAAGATGACTCCACTCAACTTTTTATGGCGAAGCTCATGAACAGTTTCATGCAGTACAACTCCATCTAATATGTTGCATCCTTGCATAAATGTTGTTTGAGTGGGTTTGATCACGTGGTCAGCCACCCGATTCAACTGTTGCAACCTTCGTAAAGACTTTGAAGTTGGCATTTAGAAGGCAAATCGGGCGATATTGTTGAATACGACAACCTCCTTAGTATTGGGTAATAGAATAATTTCCCCAAAGTTTAAACGAGCGATATCAAGGTTTTTGGCATGCAATTGGGTAAACAATTGAACCAAGTCCTCCTTAATCATATCCCAAAAATATTGATAAAACTCCACCGGAAAACCGTCCGGTCCCGAAGACTTGTTGTGTTCCATTTGAAACACTGTGGTCCGAATTTCCTCCTCGAAGAATGGAGAGGTTAAAAACTCATTTTCCGCACCCAAACTTGAGGGATGTCATGAGTAAGAGGCTCGTCCAGCTCAAAAGGACTTTCAGCTGAAGGTCCAAAGAGCTATTTGTAGTACTTAGTAATGAAGTTTCTGAGCGGAGCATCCCCCTCAATACGGCATTCGTTATGGTCAAGAGCGAAGATATGTTTCTTTCTATGCCTGCCATTGGCCGGCATTTGAAAGTATTTCGTATTATCACCCCCTTGAACAAGCGAGCTGACCTTGCAACGTTGGTACCACTTAATCTCTTCCTCGCATAAAAGGCGGCTAATCTGCTCATTTAGATGGCTTTTTTGCTCAATCTCCTTGGCAGAAAGTGGCCTCAAACCCCTGCAATTTTATCAAGGATATTGATTAAGGTAGATAGTCACAACTTTTCTTTTATGTATATTCTGACAGTGTGTTTAGCCCATCCATGAAGGAATCGGCGCAAGGCATGAATTCGATTGTTCCATCGTTGAATGGGTGTGTTACCCCGAGGTTGACGCGCCCACACTTTCTGAACAAGGTCATGGAATCCCTCTCTAGTGAGCCATCCCAATTCAAAATTAAACTATGGAGGGTTAGAGCCTAGAGTTGGTTGACCAAAATCGGTTAGCAATGAAACATGATCCGATAAGGCCTCAATTCTTTCTAGTGCCCGAATCAAGGCACGGAGATATTTATAGTCCCAGTCGATGGTTACTAGCACCCAATCAAGTTTCTTAAAAGTTGGAACAGCTCGGTTATTGGCCCGGGTGTACTAGCGACCAGACATAGTGAGCTCTCGTAGGTTGTGATGTCCGGATAATTAAGCTACAGTAAACCCCTGCTAATGGTGCCACATCATCACATTACTGTTGCTAATCCTCGCTTGATCCAAATCATTGTTCATGTTCAAACTCAAATTCAAAGTCAGAAATTCAAATTTTGCAAACATGAAAACTAAAATGTTCAAAGTGTGGTAAATAATGCATGGATATTTGTCATGTGGCAACCAACATCATTTGGCTCTCCCTTTAATCCCTAGGAAAGTATAAAGTGGCCCAGCAGCATACTAATTGACCTATTCAATTTCTAAAAATGCTTGAATAATTTGGTTGGCTCTAAAATTTTTTATGCAACGCCACAATGTTGTTCTAGAATTGTGTGCCAAATTTCAAGTTTGACTAAGTTCATTTTGTCACTCAAATAAATACGAACAGTGGCTAACTGAATTGCATAAAAGGGAAAATAGAAAATAGCCTTACTAAACTGCTGTGCAACTGGGTCATTGATGACCATAGTGCTTTTGGCCTAGCCCAACTGGCTTTTCCTCCACCTCCTGCTACAGGAGACAGGGGCCATGGTGTGGGACGCATCCACCCCCACCGTGGCCGTTGCAATCGCCGTGTTGGGCATCCCGCGGTCCTCTTGGTGAATAAGAACGTCGCAGCGACCCCCCTCCGAACCCTAACCCCAGTTTTTCCCCTTCCCCTCGTTCTCCTCCCTGATCTGGAGAGGCCCCCGTATGCAACCGTCTCCGCCGCCTTCATCGATTCCCCAGTCACCGCGCTCATCCCCAACATCGTCGTCGTCCTCAACTGCCTTCCCGTCGTCTTCGTCTCCTCCCCGGGTCGTCTACGTCGAGCCACGAGGACCCGGACGCCCCATGACATCGCCTCGAGCTTGACTTCTTCCTTGGGCCACTAACGGAACAGGGTGCTACCCCGACGGCCAAAACAATGCCGGCGGCCACCGTCGGGTTCCTCGGAGATAT